AATGAATATGTTTCTCCTCTTCCTTTGCTGTGCCGAATGGCCCTGTTATATGCTGAAAAATCAAAAAAATTGGGGGGAAAAGCCAATGGGTTTGAACAATTGTGTTATGCTGTTTTTGCTTCTTGTTGTTGCAGTTTTGACTTAGCCTATATTTGTGCAATTTTGGGCTGTATGTTTGCAGCTACTTGGACAGATTTTGGCCTTTTATGGACAACATATGGAGGGCTGCAATGCAGTCCATTTTTGACAGCATTTTGGCTTTTTGTGATTGTGCTTTTTTTTCATTGTGATGTAAACTAATTTTGCAGCATTTGAAACCATGATAAAACTATTGATTTTGACTTGCATTTCTCCTTATTTTGTCCTCTGTGAACCAATTGAAAATTACGATTTGCAATGGACCAAACACGGACGAAACGTTGCTCCTTATTTCTGATTCTTTTTACCATTGGATTGACAACGAGTGGCTTGAAGCACTTGAAGAAAGCTTGATGATGAAGAAAACTCTTTTGTAGTTTTAGTGCATTGTTAAGAATTTGTAACATTTTTTTTTTTGTAATTGCAAGCTTGTAAAAAAACTTTAGCAATTGTACATTCTTTGATTTTGAACAACACTTTGGATGATAGATTGAATGTAAGCCTTGTACCAAAAAGAAATTGAATGATAATGGTGAGGACTTAGGTATTCAAAAGTCACTTTGTAGTCTTGTAAGCTTCTCATGAAATTTGAATGAAGAATGATGAGTTGATTTTTGAATATAGCCTTGAAAAGTTGAATTTGGAATAAGATTTGGAATTGAAATTGAGAATGGAAACTTGGAATAAACCTTGTCTTATAATATGTAGAATCGATGTGAACTTGATTCACATGTAGAACTTTTGAAACTTGAATGGATAATGAGACTTTGAATGAAGTTCATGAACAAATTGATTATGTCTTGCAAACTTGAATCATTTGAAATTTGACTTTGAATCCATGGATTTAGCACATTGAATTTGATCGTTGAAGTAATCTCATAGACAATGCCATTTGTGATAAAAAGAATCACTTCATGATATTGAAAATTGAAGAAGTTGTGAGCCTCAAAAATTGGACAAGAGTTTCTTGTGACTAGGTCAAATTTGCAAAATGACCTTTAAAGCATTCGAAATTTCTGATGATCTTTCGCACATAATCAAATCTTGACTTGTGAAGAGAAAATAGAGATGACGTCAAGGAGAATCATACGCAAAAGAAACGCCCAAAAATATCGAATAACGAAAGAAGTTACAGTCACTTGAACTTGATGTCGGAAAAGGTCATCTTTTGGGTTACTGGAGTCATTTTCAGTCGTCTGAACCACTGACTGAGCAAACTCACGATGCGAGACTTGGAACTTGGCACAAACATCTCCAATAACACATGAAGGATCATAAAGACCGTTTGTAACTTTGAAAAATCATTCTCTTTTGAGAAATGAAAAAACCCTAATTGCTGCTTTTACTATCTTGGAAGAGAATCTGTCTTGATCGATTTCTGAACCAACTTGAATACCTGAGAAACCCTAGGATTGTATCTTGTATGAAAAATAGGAGGGCAAATTTTGGGGTACAACAATACCATATAAATTGTTTATGTGGATTAAGTGAGAAGGCAATTACAATGATTTTAGAGTTAATAAAAGATGCATTTGAATATGCAAACATTCCAAGTTCATTCTATGAAGCCAAGAAATCAATCACAAAACTTAGTTTGAATTATGTAAAGATATTCGCATGTCCAAACGGTTGTGTGCTTTATTGGGGAGAAGATGAAGAGAGGGAGACTTGCAAAAATGCAACACTTCAAAATGGAAAACAAATGAAGATGTCGCTGTTAACAAGAAAAAGAAGAAAATTCATGTCAAGGTTCTTCGTTATTTTCCATTAAAACCTCGATTATAGAGATTATTTTTGTTATCAAAGACGACCGAGGATATGATATGGCTTGCAACAGATACTAATAATGACGGAATGTTGAGGCATCCTAGAGATTCAGAAGCTTGGAAGAAATTTGACTTGATACATACTTGGTTTTCATCAGATCCGCGAAATGTACGTCTTGCATTGGCTAGTGATGCGTTTAATCTTTTTGGTGTGATGAGTACAAACAATAGTATTTGGCCAGTTGTTCTCATTCCATATAACACTCCTCCATGGGTTTGCATGAAGCAAACATCATTTATAATGTCAATGATAATTCCCGGTAAAGAATCACCAGGAAATAATATTGATGTCTACTTATAACCCTTAGTCAAAGAGCTGAAGGAGTTATGGACAGATGGTTTGGATACATACGATTCTTTCAAGAAAGATATGTTCAAGTTGCATGCAAATTTGATGTGTACGATTAGTGACTTTCCAGGTTTTGGTGCACTTTCTGGGTGGAACACATACACTGGACTTGCTTGCCCATCATGTAACTTTCAAACTACACCTCTCTGTCTTAAAGCTAGCCGTAAATGGTGTTTTATGGGCCATCATTGTTTCCTTGATCGGAGACACAGGTTTAGATTGAATAGGATTCGCTTTAATGGTGAACAATAAATGCAGAGTCCACTGAGACATTATCTGGACATGAAGTTTTTGAACAGGTTAAAGATGTTGAAGTCATCTTTGGTAAAAATCTAGTGAAATAAAAATCGGTAAAAAGAATACATGAGGGATAACTTATAGAAGGTGATAGTACATAGGGTGGTCCTACATAAGGTCATCCTCAACAATGGAAAAAGAAAATCATATTTTTTGAACTTCCGTATTGGAAGGATAATCTTCTGCGCCATAATCTTGATTCGATGCATATTGAGAAAAATGTGTGCTATAATGTCCTATTTACTTTACTAAATGATAGGAGAAAGAGTAAAGACCATTATAAAGCTCGAGAAGACCCTCAAAATATGGGCATAAGACCTGAGCTTTGGCCTGATGAAAATGGTAGAATTTCTCTGACAACCTTTACTTTAACGAGTAAAGATAAAAGGAATTATTTAACAACTTTAAGGAATATTAGGGTGTCTGATGGTTATTCAAGCAACATTTCTAGATGCATTAACTTAGTAAATCTCAAGGTGAATGGAATAATGAAGAGTCATGATTGTCATATATTAATGGAACAACTTCTACCATTAGCCATTCGCACAACATTATCTCATGAGATTTCAGCTGTTTTGATTGAGTTGTGCTCATTCTTTAGGCAGTTATGTGCCAAGATATTGAAAATTGAAGACTTAGAAAAATTGCAAAACCAAATTGTCCTCACTTTATGCCACATGGAAATGTTATTTCCTCCATCGTTCTTCACGGTTATGATTCACTTGGTTGTTCACCTTGTTGAAGAAGTTAAACTTGGAGGTCCTGTTCATTATCGATGGATGTATCCTGTTGAAAGGTAAACTATGTGATTTTTTTCTAATGTTACTAACTTAGAAATTAGAAAATTTTTTAACCGATATTATTGTGATTAAATAATAGGTACTTGGGAAAACTTAAATCACATGTACGTAATAAGGCAAAACCAGAAGGTTCTATTGCGGAAGGATACCATTTTGAAGAGATTTTGACATTTTGTTCAAGATATCTATAAAACATTGAGACTAGATGGAATCAACCTGGACGTGTAGATGATGACCCTATTGGTGATATCCAAATAGGTTCACGTGTAGCATAATTGTTTCCTAGAGTTGGAAAACCTGTGGGAGAATCTTTGTATTACACCCTAACACCAATTGAAAAGTTGCAGGCTCATAGGCACGTTTTAACGAATTATCCAATAGTTGACGACTATCTAAAGTAAGTAGTTTTATTCCATTTAAGTAGTTTCATCTACACTATTAATATTTTTTTACATCTAATATCGAATAATCAAATAGGAAGTTCCGAAGTATTACTCATAACCAAATAAGGCGCAGTCAAAGAAGTGCTGTTGAGATAGACAAGAAGGTTCATAAAGAGTTTTCTCATTTGTTCCACAATCGTGTGAGTTTTGTACAAAAATAGATGTTTGTATTGAATTGGTTTTTAATTATAACAAGACTAATTGGATGTTGTATCGTGTATAGATTTGCAACAATCTTGACAGCATTCGTGGACCAGATAAAGATATTTTCATTAGTCTTGCTCGTGGCCCTTTTGATAAAGTTAAAAGATTTACCGTGTTCAATATCAATGGATTCAAGTTCTGAACATTGGAACGATATAATCTTTTAAAAAGTCAAAACAGTGGAGTTTTTGGCATGTTTGGGACACGAAGTTATTCAAGCAATAGTGATACTCAAATGAGATTTGGAGGGGTCCCTTACTATGGAAGATTGATAGACATTATTGTGCTTTCCTATGATGGCTTCACAATGTCCATGTTTAAATGTGAATGGGCTAATACCACAAACCCAAGAGGCATTAAAATAGATAAGTTGGGTTTTACCTCTATAAACTTTGCAAGACTACTACATAATGGGGAACATGAAGATAATGAGCCATACATTCAAGCATCAGAAGCTCAGACGGGTTTTTTATGTGGATGATGATAGTGAACAAGGATAGAGAATACTTGTTCATTTGAAGCCAAGAGACTTGTATGACATGGGTGGAAATGATGAAATTATGACACCCATTGAGCCATATCCATCACAAAATTTGGAACAAATTTTTTCGAATGATGATTTTGGAACTTCATCGGAAAATGATGACAATAATTAAGATATAGTTTTTTATTGATAAGAAGTCTAGTTTGTTTGTAACTTGTGTGAGACTTATGTTTTTTGTTGCTTATCCCTAATTAATGTATTAGATGACATTGTTACTCTATGTTTTTTGTTGCTTATCCCTAATTAATTTATTAGATGACATTGTTACTCTATGTTTTTTTGTTGCTTATCCCTAATTAGTGTATTATATGACATTGTTACTCTATGTTTTATTGCATAATTTGCCTTTTATTTTGTGTTTTAATACTTATACTTGCAGTTGAAGCCTGTTGTGAGACAATGACTACACCATATGAGAATATGCGCCTTAAAAGAATGGCAGAGAATAAGAAAAAGCTAGAGGCTCTCAATCTTCCTACACTATCTCAATCCCTTAACAAATCATCTGAGTCTTCTTCCAAACCATCAACGGTTAGTAATAAATTCTCAATACTACTCTATACAAATTAATTGTATTGATTGTTGACTAATATTCACTGATACATTTTATTTAGTATGTGAAGGGTCGTCTGAAGTTTGTACAACCTGGAGAGCTTGAAGTAAACAAAAAGCGCCAACGTTCAACTACAACTTGCAAATCATCAATAACCCCTCCCCCGATTAAAAATACAATAACTTCTCTGTCAATCCAAACTACAATAACCCCTCCCCCGATCAAAACTACAATAACCCCTCCACCAATCCAAATTGCAAAAGATGTTGTGGTAGAATATGAGGATGAAGATGTTGTGGAAGGAGATGAGACCAAAGATGATGTGGAAGGAGATGAGGTCGAAGATGTTGTGGTAGGAGATGAGGCTTAAGTTGTTGTGGTAGGATATGAGGCTGAAGATGTTGTGGTAGATGGGACTAAAGATGTTGTTAAAGTGGTTAAATATGTGTATTGGGATGTAAAAGTCATAAGTAAGTAATTTAAAGTTAAATTATTTGTAAATAATTTAAATTTTTTACATAGTTGAGTTATGACATTAATTTCTTTACTTTTTTATATGATAGATGAGGAGGGTAATGTTTCAAACAAACGTTTATGTGTGAAAGACTTGGTTGCGAAATCAGAGCCGGATGGAACATGGATAATACTTGACTTCAATAAGGATCAATGTGCAATAGGACAAGCTTCTGGTTTATTAGCAGGGTATTTGGGTGTAATTATTAGAATGTTTAAAGACTTTCCCATAATATTCGAGAGTTGGAAGGATATTCCAGCGGATACAAAAACAAATTTTTATGAATCAAAGATAAAGGTATCATTAATAAAAAATTACACATTTTTTAAATTAATTTCATGGTGATTATTATTTGTTTTGTCAACTAATTTTTATTTTTATGTTTAGCGCCATTTTCTTGTTGATGATGGGCGTGACAAATAATTCATATTTGCTTATGCTTCAAAGAAATTGAGGGATGCCCGATCTCAATTGTTTCTCCAATATTATAGATGGGGTCTCACTTTGGAGGAAAATCTTCAAAATTTTCCAAAAGACATAGGCATTATGGAAAACGATTGGGTTGTTTTTGTTCATTATAGGCGGAAGGAAAAAACACATGTAATATTTATGTTTTTATTTGTTAGATTTCTCTGGTTTGTATGTTATCCCTATCTATAACAAGTGTTTTTATTTGTTACAAATGAAGAAATTAGCCCAAAAAAATGCCGAAAATAGAGAAAAATTGAAGGTTCCGCATACACTCGGATATAAGTCGCTTGCAAGGAAGAAACATGAGTTGGTGTGTCTAAATCTATATAATGTTGATTGTATGCCTGATAGTACAAATGGTTAATATTTGTTCTTATTTGTAGGAATCGAGAGATGGACGAACATACAGTAGAGGAGAAATGTATACAATTTCTCATAAAAAGTCTGATGGGTCTTTTGTCAATGAAGATGCATACAACAATAATGTAAGTACAAGTTAATTATTTTGAAATATTTTTTAGCCTCCTTAAGGTTTGATAAAAACCCAAACCTTTTGGCATCTCTTAGAGGTGGGGAGAACCTGTCTGAAAACTGGTTACTAAGTTACAGTTCTTTTATGGTTCTACTAAGTTACAGTTTTGTTATAGTTTTACTAAGTTATAATTAATTAGTCTTACACTTTGTCTCATGAAATTTCAACTTGTATTTTTGAGAACCTATAATTAGCAGATTCAAAGACAAGTATCATGTTATTATGCATGCAGTTCACTTGGACTAAAATTCTAAGGTGCTTGCAGACCATATAAACCAAAGATACTGCTTTCATTCCACTCGTGTGTTAGTGAGATTTAAACTCCATTTAAACATTGGGTTACAGTTGTAGCAACTGGTTTTTTTAATCAGAGCCGCCACTATTAGTTTTTATCCTAGGGAAGGGAACCTAACAGAAAACCCTAATTCGTAGACAGAGATTCTAGGTTTCGGACTCAATTATACGAAAGGAAGGTGTTAGGCACCTTTCATCCACCTTGTTCACAAGGATATTAGACTCTAGGTTTAGGTTTGAGTTGGGGAAGCAGGATTTAAATTTTTTATAGGAGAACTCGCTACGATTTTTAATCGTATGCCTACGTATCCTCTTATGAGAAATCAGAGTCCCAATTCGTAGTTCGTTTGAGGTTGGTGTTTTTTAGGGGTTTGCAAACATATTTTGAATCACTTCGCACTCGGTCGGGAGTAGTAATTGTGGAGATTTTGACTGAATGTGCAGTAAGCCAAAACTAATTTGAAACCCTTTTGCAAAAAACAGTTGATTAGCTTAGTTTATTGTGAAAATTAATTTGATGATTTGTATGTGTTTTTTAGTCATATTATTTGCAAAGATCTTGATTAATGCGTGATTAGAAAAAATTTAATGCAAATGATATATAAAAATATGTTCATGAGTTTTTCTAAATAAACATAATTTATTTATGATAATAAGTAATATTGACATATAATAAATAATAATACTATAAATAAAAATTACTAGTAATAATAATTATTATTATAACTAATAATAATAAAAATAATAATTAAAAATAATAATATAATATAATAATAATAGTAAGAAAATAATAATTATATAAAAAATATAGAATATAACTAAATTCAGAAGGGGGATGCATTTTTTTGTTATTAAGTAAAAAGATTGGGTGTTATAAGTAGATCTTGGCTAGGCCCATTTGTTTATTCATACAGGGGGTGCATTTCATTTGGCGTTTTAGCAATACAGGGGAAGGGTGGTGTGAAGAGCAGTGGGCTTGGCCCAACTGCAGATTATAGTAAGGTCAGATTGATTGGGTGTTGCCAAGGGGTATGGGAGTACCGTAGGGACTTGGCCTACGATCATCCGTTATGATCTAATGGATAGATATTGAGAGAGTACGTTAGTTACGATGCGCGCGTGTATAAGATTGGAACGAAGTATAATTCATTATTTTTTCATTTTCGTTAATCCTCTTCAGTGAAACCCATCTCTCTCTCTCTCTCTCTATCTCTCTCTCTCTCTCTCTCTCTCTCTCTCTCTCTCTCTCTCGTTAACCAGACACAAACCCTTAACCTTCTTCTATCTCTCAACCCTAACCTTTAGCTACCGGCGGCGCTGGCAAACCACCCTTTCTCTTATTTTCAGTAGAACCCCTTTTCCTCTCTCTCGTTAACCCTCTCCTCTTCTTTCAAAACCCCAGTCCTAACATCCCATGTACCCGCGGAGGCTCGACCCAACCAAAAGCTTTCTCACCGTAAATGAAAACCCAGTAACCCCATAACAACACAAAAACATGCTAAGTCAAATTAACCTTTTTGCGATTTTGATTTCTGAGCGTCCCAGTTTCTAACCCCTTCCTCTTTAATTCGCAGGTTCCGGCGACGGTAGTGACGGTGGCAACTGGGCTAGCAAGGGAGGCTTAGGGTTTGCAACGACGATTGTGGTTTCCGATAGTGAAACCCCAATCGCCCCCTTTCTCTGTATCGTCTTCTTTCTCGATTCCACCTACTGTAAAAATTTCTTTTCGTTTCTGTATAAAAAAATGCCCCTTTCTATTTTAATTTTCTGTTATTTATAGAGTTTTCTGTATTTAGGATTTTGTGAATTTGTTGTTACAGATTAGCATAGATTTAGGAAGTTTAGAAAGAATTAGGTATTGGTTTCATGTTGTAATTGATTGAGAATATATTGTAATTGATTTTCAATATTGGATTTTGTTGTAATGTAATTGATTGATTAATCCTGTAAATAGATTTGAATTTGTATAAATTGATGTTGTAAGATTTAATTTTGTTTAAGATCTCCACAATAGATGTTCATTGGCACAAAACACGCGTGAGTTTTGGTGATGATTGGTACAGTAGATGTTAGTGCATTGGGCCAACGTTATTTCTTTTATTCAGTCCAACAACATTGTTTTTTTTTATTACAGTAAGAAAAGATTTTTAATACAACTGACCCAATTGGCCTTTTTTCCAAAACAACAAAAGAAAACTTTAATAAGCAAACTATAAAAGTAATATTTAACAAAAAAAATTATTGTAATAAAAGGTTGATCAGTAACAAAAAATATATTACGTTTCTAACAAAGAAATATATTTTTGTTTATTTTTAAAATAATAAAAGTTTTAATACTAATATTTTTTCTAAAGCAATAATAATGCCAAACCACAAAAAGGCATTAGTCTTATTAGAACCTTAAATGAGTGTATAAATTGATAAGCACGCCCCATCTTCTTACTAACAACAACCGTAATTAAAAACTTGATAATTATTCGAAATAGTTTTATTTTTGAATCGCATGGGCCATTGGCCAACATGCTTCGCGAATGGATTCACGGATACATGGGTCTTTCTACTTTAGAAAGCTCCGTTTTCGCGAATTAAAATACACCCCTAGTCTTGGATAAGGATGAGTCATCAGATACTGTTGTACCATCCTTAATTAAATATTTCTTCTATTTTAATAAAATCATCGAGGTAGGACAAATTTGAGGTATGACAACAGTATGCTTTAACATGAAAATAATAATCACACAAAGTTATGAATCTGCTAATTATTCAGGACATAATCTAAAAGTGGTGTAAGACAAGCTGAAATACACATCAATATTACAAATAGGCTAGGATAGATAATGTATATACTGTTTGAAGTTGTAGTTGTTTAAAAACAAGTTAAATGATAAAGCTTATAAGAAACTGTGACGATTATATTGCACCCTACACTATATTGCATAACACATTCATAGTTAAATGCAGCCACTAATTTGACACGTAACTATTTTCCACTTTCTATGGATTTTATAGCATTTGGATTATTATTTGATTATGTAATTTTAAAGTGTAGAATTTTATTATTGTTACAGTATAAATATGAAAAATATGAAAAATAATACAGCAACAAAAGTAACAAAAGTAACAAGAGTAACAAAAGTAATATTATTGGATTATTGGATTATATTATTGGATTATATGAATCTTACAGTAACAAAAGTAACAGAATTTTATTATTGGATTAAATGGATCTTACAGTAACAAAAGTAATATGAACAATATATGTTAGCTATTGTATTCTTACTATATTTTATAGCTATTGCATTCTTGAGCGCTGCCCCATATAAATTAGTAGTAAATAAGTAGTATGTTTTATAGCTAAGCATGTCCCTTTGCTCTTTTTCACGTGCAGGAAAAATTACAAGCTACAATTAAGGATTATGTTTCTGAAAATGAGGCATTTCAGAAAGTATTTGGAAAAGAACAACATGGATATGTTCGTAGTGTGGGACTAGGAGCTACACCATCTCAGATTAATAGATCTACGAGATTGGCATCTTCTTCGGTAGAAAATGAAAAAAATAAAGGAAATGCAAGAAGAAATTAATGCACTTAAAATTAACGAATTGATGGAGGCAGTCACATTCTTAACGCAAAGGGATAATGCTAGGACAAAGGAAATTGAACTCTTATTGCAAATGCAAAATTCTAGTGGAAGACGGGTATATTATTTTGATTCATTTAAAGTTGAAGTTTATGAGTATTATTTTAAAGAGTATTATTTTAATACTTTTTTTAGGAATTGGAATCACCCGTTGATGGTAGACGTTCATCTGAGTCTAGCTACCGAATTTAGATAATGGATCATCAAGAAGGACAAATTAGAATTTGCTATGAATTAATTAGATTATGAACTTTCTTATGTATTTTTGACATAATGATACTTATTATTATAAGATTAGAATTTGATATGTTTTCAGTTTTTTATACTACATTACATGATTATGGTACTCATATTTTATATGATTATGAAACTTGCATTTTTTTGATATTATGATACTTATTTGATATTAAATGTTTTTTATTGGAATTAATTTTAGTACGTTACAAAGTGATTGAAAATAATACTATATATAAAAATTTTATAGTAGAAATAATTTAAAGAAAAAAAAAATTTAAAATTATAATACTATAAAAAGACTGTCACGACGGTATTGAATAGTCGCAATCAATAATTACAAAAAAACTCAAGAGAGTGTCACGGCGGTACCGAACCATCGCCATTAACAATTTAAAAAAAACTCGCAAGATAGTCACGACAGTAACGAATCGTCGCTATTAATAATTTAAAAACTCAAAAGATAATCACGACGGTATGCAACCCGTCGTGAACTTGAGCGACGATTGGTGTGGCAGTTTGTGCGACCGTCGCGAAACAGGCTAGAGACACACATTTCTACGACTGCGAAACAATCATAGTGGATAGAAAATTGTGACGGTTTTAACGGTCGTAATCTGCCAAAATAACTGTCGCGATCTGCCAATTTTCTTGTAGTGTTTGTTATATGTTCAATAATTTTCTTTAATATTCCAAAAAAAAAATAATATATCATTCAAATTAATATTAAAAGAAAATCATCTATTTATTTAAAAGATTTGATAAATAATTATTTTTCTATATATATTACAGTAATAAATTAAAAGTAAAAAATTAAATAGTCTCAATTCGTAAGACATATCAATTTTAAGTAATATTGCTTCGTAGAAAATTTATAAAATAGATATTTTATTATCATATGTGTTTTATTTTTTATTTTTTGAAAATAATTTTATAAATTAACATTTAAAACTTATTTTTTCATAGAATAATTAATAATTCTATAAATTATATACAAAACTTGTTTGATAATATATTTTAAGAATATGGTTTGAAAACTATAATATAAAAAAATGGTATACAATGATTAAATTCTATTAATTTTATGAATATGTGATAATGAAAAATGTGATAATGGAAATATTTTATTACATGTAAAAAATAATAGTAAGTTGAGATTTTATATAACTAAAATGTTTAAAGTAAACATATAAAACAAAATTTCAATAAATTTTTTTTAATTGATTTATATTAAATACTAATAATTAAAATTTTAATTATTTCCCATTACAAGAAAAATCTAATACCTATGCTTTCAAATAATCCATTTTTTCAATTAATTCCTATTACCAAAAAAAATCATTTAATCTATAATCACGTTTTCAAAAATGATTAAAGAAATTTAGAATAATTAATGTTGGATATATAAAAGGGTAGAATCAATAATGTTGAATATATAAAATAGAAATGACATAGAGAATTAAAATTAATCTTGTAAAACAATTTTAATTGGCGAATTATAGAACAACTTAACGAAAATAAACTTGTAATTTAAATTATATATTATTGTAAATTTATAATTTTGTATCAAATTATACGGTAACACCGTACATCCCTTGCATAACATTAATATTGATACAAATTACTTTGATAGAGATTGAAATTAAACAACATGAAAATCTAAACCTTTAAATTATTTTGATAAATCTAACCTTATATTATCAATGCCACCTAAATACTAATTAAAATCCACCACTTACTAATTAAAAATAAGATAAAAAAGAATTAAAAAGGAGAGAGAAGAGGACATGTGATCAGAAACTAATTCTCCAAATCTCTCTCACTTACTGTGACATGCTCTTTCCTCTACATTTACTTCCTCCATTGATAACAGATGAAGCAAAATCATATTAATATTTGAAACTAAACATGAATAGAAAAATTGAATAAAACATATTGCGGGACGATTAACAACACAGATAATGAAAGCATGAGTTTAGGGATGGAAGAGGAACGAGGAGGACTGAATTGATGTAGAACCTTACTATTTATTTTAAAATAATAGAATGCGATGAGTTTCTATGGGAGAGAGTAGTAGGTGTTATTATTAATGATGTTGTATAGGTAATGTAAGACACCACCAAACTTTTGGTTAACCTTACACATGAACAAAAGTAGTACTGTATTTAATTTGCCTTGGTTTGTGGTAAGCATGCATTCCGTATTGATAATAGAGTTAGCAGTCAAATAATTAATGATGGTAGAAAAATATTAAAATGATAAGTAATAGTAATAAAGTTATATAATGACATTTAGGTAATTATATATTAGTAATGATTACTATAGATGAAATGACCATTAAAAAGTATAAATTATGGCTGTAAAACGAAACTAATTAGAATAAATAAATATTTTTATAATATATTACTTTATTAAAAACTAGTATGATACGTATGCGTTCCTACGAGTAGTGGTCTGACATTCGCATTGAGCTAAAAAGAATTTATGTATGAAGAAAAAATAGCTACAATTGAAATATACACTCGTTCAACAGTTATGAATTTTCCATATTTCAATAAAATGCAAGTATTATGATGTAAGACTTATACAGTCAATGAATAGAAGAATATTTTAGATAAAAATAATGTAGTTTTCTAGGGGAGATGTATGTTTGTGGCATGTCTCCAAACATATTTCAATTAAAAGATAGATTGGGAAGCAACAAACAAATACAAGCACTTATCTAACAAAACAGTAATGTAAACCAAAAGATTAGTTGTACCAGTATTCATAAATATAATTCTGCCAAATATTATCCATTCATTATACTCCCAAAACTACTACAACTATACATAGTTCACACATGTTACATACAATAAGTTGCGCACTTAACAACCGTGGTAGTGAAACTTAACATCATTGTAACTTAAGTAAAGACGTTCATAACAACAAAAAATACCACAAGTTCATTTGGAATTACAAACAGATCTTAAATTTTGACATAAACATATATTCTTTCTAGTTAAATATAACACATTAGCTAGATTGAGTTCTTCACGTGTCTTCAAAAAGGATTTCCATAAACTAGGGTTCATGCCTATACACTATTTATTAGCGCCATACACATTAGCATAACATGACCGTCAATCATGAGTTGCATTGCCACGCTCCACCGATACAAAGATCTCGTCTACAGGAGGGTATCGGATGCAGAAGTGCAGCGTATCACCAACCTTCAAATTGGCATCCTTAGCATAGTCATACCAGTCATCCAAAACGTACCTTTCTAAACTTCCTTTTCTCTTCTTCAACAGGCAATGGTATGGAACTCTGTTGTCAGAATCGTAAAGGTGAATTGGTCTGTCTCGTCCATGAATATAATTTTTAATTGTGTTTCTGGAGATTTGCTGTTAATGGAAAATTATTGTTAGAAGAAAAAATAATGTAACTGATTTTGCATAGTTTTGTTACCAATGTTCCCAATTGAAAGCTATAGATACATATGACTTTTTTACTTACAAGAGCATTGGAACACACCGCCATGGGATCAGCTACAACCCGACTCCAGTTTTGTTCGAAAGTTTTATCATCAATAAGGCTATATGGCCTGCAAATTTCAACAGAAACAATGAATTTATTTAAAGGTTGTCAGTTACCTAATAACATATTGTATTTGCAACTAAAAATTAGAATTGCATATTACTTATATCACAACTATAAACAGTTCTGTAGATGATATGTCTATGTTCTCAGGTTCTTCTGGAGGTTCCAACCTACAAGTATTGGCGGAGTCTAAAGTTTTTCCCCTTCCAGTAATGGGAAACAACCATGCAACTATAAGTAAACCCTAAATAATTAACGTACATAACCTTTTTCATTATTGATGTAGCAGAAAAACATTATACAGTGTTTTCAAACCCATTAACCATCAACAACATTATCCATGACCACAAACAACTAATGTTAAACACACATGCAAATACAAATAAGTATGCATTTCCACAACTCAAACGACATGCACCACATCGTGAATGACAGGTCAAACCGATTAACTTACCTTGATGTTTTTTCCTCACTGTTGGGTATGGTTTTTGAGAAGTCTTTAGCAGCCATGTTCGGTTGATCTGAGGAGGAGAAAGTGCATTGTGTGTGGAGGGTTAGCTTTGAACAAGGCTTTGTTTTGTGTAGACCGTGTGAGAATAAGAGTATATGTATAAGTGGGCTCTGTTTTATTTTGATATTGAATACATCCTGACCATTAATCTATTTATTATATAAAGTAATCAAAAAAACTGTATTTTTTATTTAGTGTAAAAAGATATAATATAAGGATATAATATAAAAAGGTATCAGTTATATATATTAGGGAATATTTATTTTAAAAAAAGAGATGGAGAGTCAAATGGGCCATTGAGCCGATGGTAAAGAAGGAATGGAAGTACAAAAGGAACATTCTATGTAATGTGGTTAAAATGGGTTTCCAGTGAGAAATACGGAAAAAGCGCTTCCGCTCAAAAGTACAAAGTGCAGCTTATCAAAACCCAGAGTAAACATAGAACTAAAAGCTTGGTTCAGCTTCCAGTTGAAGATGAATAATGGTGGGGGAATACGACATGCATGTGGGTAAGTCTGTAGCTATCGATCTTCAAGTATTGTTTATTTTGTTCATGGAATCCATAATGTGTTTGTTAGAAGTTATATAGGTTGTGAGTAATATCTCTTCATGATGA